ATATAATTATATAAAATATAATAACTATAATAACGATAGAAATTATGCTTTTACAATCTTAAATGTATGTATTGCCTTAGTAATTTTAACAGATTTGCAAAAAATTAAATTATTGTGCATTACCCGGGAAAAAATGTTTCATATATAATTATATTAAATTATGTAGAGTGTTTTCTCTAACTTGATTATTTAAAATATCTCCATCTAAGATATCTTGTTTTTAAGGAGAAAATATCAAAGAAGAAAGTTCGATTCGAAGAAGTCATATTATGATGAGCAAAAAATTTTTCTCAAGATCATATTTTTTGAGACTTCACTTCCACTTTTTTAAATGGAATTGTATAATTTTTTTATACAATATGATTCCTTTTTCAATATGATTTCCTTTAATTATTCTAAATATAAAAATATTAAGGAGTGATGTAAAAAACCAATAGTTTACAAGATATTTTATATTTTATTCTGGCATATATTAACATAAAATATTAAATAACTATGTGTTTTCTTTCTATCAATTGATTCATTATATTATATTATATTCTGTTCATAAAAGCATTAAGGTACAATTATGAAAAAAATTAATAGTTTATGAGTTATTTAACATTTTATGTCAATTTATATGCTAGAATAAGGTATAAAATATCTCAAATCATTGATTTTTTGATATCACTATCCTAATTTAGAATAATTACTTTATAAATACTTTATAAATACTTTATAAATACTTTATAAATACTTTATAAATACTTTATAAATACTTTATAAATACTTTATAAATACTTTATAAATACTTTATAAATACTTTATAAATACTTTATAAATACTTTATAAATACTTTATAAATACTTTATAAATACTTTAATTTAGAATAATTAGAGGAACTATATTTGTGTAAAATTGTGTAAAAAAATCATACAATTTTATTTGAAAAAGTGAAGGTAAAGTCTAAAAAAAATATGATCTTGAGAAAAATTTTTTGCTCGCCATAATATGTACCTCTTCAAATTAAATAACTCCTTTGATATTTTCTCTATTAAAAACAACGGAGATATTTTTAAATATTTTAAATGATCAAGTTAGAAGAAACACTGTATAATTGTATTTAAAAAATTGACATATTTTATATATAATTATATATAAAATATATAGGTATATATAACATTTTTTTCCAGGTTGTTTCAATTAGCTAATTCTCTAAAGAAAAATAGATATAGGTGATACTCAATGAGAAATGACTCCTCGAATAGATGTCGAATAGATACAATGATTAATTTCGAATTCGTGAATTCGATATTAATTCGTTGTCTAAATGACGGTCATTTCTTGTTCGATAATCATGCTCTGATATTTATCAGATTGTTCATGTAGAACTCGATATTATTTGCATATGATTGGACAGTCAAATGTGTGATTGGTCTGTCCAATCGTATAAGAATAATGTCGAATTTTTATAAATAAGCCGGATGAGCCTCTTCTAACTTCATGGTTGGAAGTGCGACATTTCTTGAGCGCGTGTCAACAAAGACACAAAATTTTTACACCATGCATATGTTAATCATACAAATTTTAAAATATTAACAAGAGAACTCGAAAAGTACTTTATAAAAAATAACTTTAATGCAATGTTTTGAAAAGCTCTTGATCCAAATATGAAAAACTCTCTACCAGTTATTAGATTCAGAAATCAAAAATAGAATGTAATTCGCCAAGATCAAACTGATAAGGTTAGTGAATCAGATCTTTTTTGAACTCTACGATTTTTGTTTAAGCTTTTTTGTAAAACTTATATTTTTCAAAATATAAGATTCAGACCTTTTTGGGACACTCTGTATATCTATATTTTATGCATATTATATATATTATTATTATTATATACATATTAAAAATATTAATTATTATTTATTTATAAATTATTATTTAAAGTTT